TCGCTCTGACTCCATGTTCCATCAACCTCTACTTGGTTTACACTCAGAAATGATGAAGACACGCTCCTCTGCAGCAGCTTCTACATCAAGAGTCCTTCAGGGTAAGACCACTGAGGTCGACGAAGGCTCCAGAACTAGAACAGGACTATGTGAGCCTTTGGACTTAAGTTCTGAAATATTTAAAATAAACAGCGAAATAGTAGCTGCTGAGTCTAGACGAAGAGTCCTGCATAATACCACTGGGCTTCTCAAAGGCTCCAGCACTGGTTTATGTTTAGGTTCTTTATCGACACAACTATCCAACAACACCCCTGTGGTTTCTTACAACATGGACTTGGACGTCAGTCCTGACTTCTTGGACTTCGGTTCTCTCTTATCACCACAGTCTGAAATGACTCAACCTAAACCTCCGTCAGGTTCACAGTACTGTCCAGGACAAAGAGCCCAGACTCAGTCCATTGCCCCAACTGTTGCCGGCGCTGCATGTCCACAAGACAGACCCACAGTCATCCAGGACTCGACCGTCTGCACCGAAGGAAGCGGAGCACAAGATGCAGTCCAGCTTTTCTCTATGGAGCCTGAAGGTGAGGCGGAAGGAGGCGGCGATGCTGTGGTTGAAATGGACTCACCTGTTACAGCCGTGAACTACTCCGTCACCAACGCCCTGCCAGAACGTGGTCACCTCTCACCTCCTTGGAGCAGGAGAGACTCCAGCTGCCTGTCTCGCTCTCACAGCATGCCTTCACTGAGTCTAATAACCTCTGCAGAGATCAGGACCCTCAGACGGGCTGAAAGCTCACCTGACGCGCTGTTAATAAGCAGCTCTGAGGAGTTCACACCTGACATCACCGCTGATGAGAACGATGACGAAACCTTCCAGTTCCGGTGCTCCTGCCCAGGCCTGTACCGGTGCAGCGTGACCGGCCTGGTGTTCCACATGGGGGGAGAAGGGGACGTGGTCTACAGGACCGTCCCTTGGGACTGGAGGCTGCTGGTCCAGCATCTCAAGAAGCCTGCGGGGCCCCTGTTTGACATCAAGTGTGAGCAGCGGTCCGTGCGTGGCCTTCACCTCCCGCACTGTGAGATCCGCTCCACGGGGGGCTGTGACTTCCTCTCGGTCGCTCACGTGAAAGACGAGGGCGTCGAGTTCATCAGCCCGAATAAGGCGACAGAAACTCACGTCGTCATAAGCGTCACAGGGTTTTCTGCGTTCGGTAACGTCAAGGACGAAGACTCGCCCCCCGACCCGGTCCGAGCGCTGGTTCTGCTGTTCTACAGGCCTCCAGCCGACCCTGATCCAGAATCCCTCCTCAATGTGTTGTTGCTACCGAGGAACGTGGTGCTCCGGGACGTTCTGCGCATCAGGAAGAAGACAGTAGGAGATGAGAGCTACATCGAGACATCCCCACACTGTAAACTGCACCCGAAGCAGGAGTACACTCTGTCCGCGAGTCCTGAAGACCACCAGGTTCTGGTTCAGCCAACCGAAGCGGAGTTTGACAGTGACAACTATGACAACTACTTCCCATCGTTCCAGGTGACTTGGGAGGCGACGCTGAAACACATTAAGCTGTTTTTGAGGGACACAAACGGCTCCCACAGTGCCTGGGAAAGACGAGTTTGTCTTTCCGCAGCTGGAGTCAGAAGGTCCTGTGGACCGAGCGCTCTGAACCTCCCTTCTTGTGAGAAGCTGCGGGTCACACGGAGCAGCTTCATCAAGGGCATCTCGGGACCAATGCTCAAAAGTCTGCTGGACAAACTGTTTGAGAAAACCGTGATGAACGATTCTGAGAGGGAGTCGGCGGACGAGATGCGAAACAAGGAAGACAAAGCTCGTTTCGTTGTGGACACCGTGAGGAGCAAAGGTGAAGCTGCCAGTTCAGAGATGATTGAGATGCTCTGTGAGGCCGACCCCTTCCTCTGTGGACATCTGGGGCTGATGTGAAGCTAACGGAAATGCTACAAAACATAGCATTTATACTTTATCACATTTAGAAATGTTTAAAACATCAGATTCCTTAATTTGTAGGTCTTTTTGTAAAATTGAAAAAATATGCCATCACAACTTTGCACTATTTCTTTTTTATTATTTGGTTTTTAAATGTTGAATTTAAAGTTTTTCATATTTTTCTAATGATTCTATTTAAAAACTATATTTGACCAAATTATTGCCACTTTTTATGATGTCAGTTGATTCTGAACACTTCATACGTCTGATTTTAGTAGTTTTAATGTTATTTTATTTTACTTTAATCTTAAATGTTTGTGTTCTTTCTGTAAGGTTGATCCAGGGCTCATTAAGTTGTAAGAACAACAAATTAATGCAACTTTTAAGGTACTGCAGGTAAAATAACTGTTTTCATGTAGACGTTCATTTAATGTTTCTAATAAAACATCTTTTTAAACTTTATTGTCAATAGTGCCAGATGACATCATGACCTCATGCAGCAATGCTTTCCATCTGGGTTTTAAAAGTTCATCTTTAAAGGCTCTTCATGTATCCAAGGGGTCAACAAATTATAATATTTGTGACTTAATGCTCTTGTCTTATCTTCGTGTTTCTCTATGAACTGTGTAATTGATTGTGTACCTTCATCAGCCAGCAGGGGGAGGTGTTTGCGTGTTAATGATCAGAGTGAAGACATTCTTTACTGACAGTGAAACATGACATCAGTCTACTGTTACAATATATATATAATCTAATATATATATATATAAACATTACATGAACCCATTAAGAAGGGGCCATCACAATAAAACATGTAGAATTCACAGTAAAATGTATTTCTATATTTTGTGTGAGGTGCCAATGAGAGGAGTTATAGAGAGATATTACAGAAGACATATTTTATCACAAAATAGCATTATTGTATGTTATTTTATGGATTTTATAGCATATATATATATTGGCCACAATCATTAAAAACATGTTTGCTGTGGTTTATTGATATTGTCCAACTCGCAGATATGAGGATGAAAAAATGTGTGTTTGTATTTTGCCGCATATATTGTTGCTCTATCATTGAATAAAGTTATGTTTTCAATAAAAAAAAATGATATTCGTATGGCCTCAGTATTGAATTGAAGACATTTTATAACAATGGTGTCTTTAAGAATGTGCGGCCTCTTTAAGCTACACTGGATTCTGACGCAGCCTTCCACACTTCAACTTGAAATCTCCTTTTAAAGGCGCAGCAGAAAGGTTTTAATATCAGTTAGAAATGGTTGTAAAGAAAGTTTGTTTAAAGGTATTTTGTTGATCCCATAGATGTCTACTGTCAGTATGTGATAAGTGCTACAGTTTGTTTTTAAATGAGTAGATAATTAAGCTGTGAGTCTGTCTCACTCAAAGTTATTTGATGAACAGCAACACATGCTCTAAAATAACTTCAACGCACAGACTGTAGTTTTCACAATTTACAGATAATATATATTTTTTAATTGCAACTATTTGATTCATCAACAGTTCAAATTGAGCTCTCTTACTTTAAAAACATTTTGTATTTTGTTTAATGACAAAAAATGTTCATGAACCTGAAGGCATCAGATGTTTTACATTTTTACTTTAATAATTACTTAAAACGATTTAAAGATTATTATTAAATTATAATTTATTTTCATTTCAGAAGATTATTGAGCAAAATAATAAATACTAATAATTCTCAGACGTTTTTATTTTATTTTATTTTTTATTTCACTTCCTGTTTTATCTCCGCCTAACTTCCGGTTTCCGTCGCGCTAACTCCTGCCAGCTTGTCGGGTTGTCGGAGTGAACCAGCGCAGCATCCAGCCCTCACAGCCGGACGGTGAAGCCGCTGAACGGGACCGTTTCTCCGGCAGGTTTTTTGTGTCTCTCGCTGTGGACATTAACAACTAACATCCGTCGTGTTTAACGAGTGTGATTTATCCGGTTTTGGAGCACCGAGGAGGTCCGGAGGATGAACCCCCAGTGTGCCCGCTGTGGGAAGATCGTCTATCCGACGGAGAAAGTCAGCTGCCTGGACAAGGTGAGCACGTGCGTTCATCCAACAATAATCAATACATATGTGTCAAATGGTTCAATCTTTGCACTGCTGCTGTCGAGTTTAATATTATTCTATTGCATTGTATATATTGTGCATTTGATATTTAATATGTTTTACTCTTTACTCTCTGTCCTCTAATCTTTTAAAGGAATATATAGTTAATAGCCAATCAGATGGAACCTATCATCTTCTTTTATTTAGTTTTAACCCCAACGTTACTGTAATACTACTGTAGAGACTTCAGGTGGGAGGTTTATGGTTAATTTAGCACATTCCATGCATCACTTTACTTGTATAAATATTCCTTTTAATATTATTTGATCAGCCTAAATGACTCAAGTATTAGCTCATGATGACTCTTGATGGGAATGTTACATTCATGGTTCAAAATAACTTTTGGGATTCAAACTAAAATCCTCTTTGGATTCTATTTACAGTCATAATTATACTAAAAATGAAAAAATCTGTTTTATACATAGTGTGTCGCAGCGGTGGTAGAAGTTATAACTAAATGAAACTGTC